TGGGAATCTGGCTGCGGTTATACCCTTGGCAATCACTACATGTGTTTGTTAACCTTAATGCTGCTATAACCTCTGTTTAATGTGGACAAGTGCGAGGATTTGCGTGCAGGCAGTAAAACTGAACTATGGGAAACGCTGAGCTACAGGAGGCTACTTATGAGAACGACTTGGGTGTTCATGTTGACACATCCTTGAGATCTTCTAGTCAATGTGGGGAGGCAATTAAAAAGGCAAACTAAATGAAATGTTAGGATATATAGTTAGAAGCATATGATTTGAAATCAAGGCATCAGCATTACTATGTTAGCAATGTATAACACACTAGTAAGGCCTCATTTAGAATGTCTTGTACAGTTTTGCAGATCAGATATTGCTACTCTGGAATGTCCCCACATGACCATGGGACTACGCTGCCAGGCTGAAGGAACTGGACCTTTTAAGTTATAAACAGGGAAAATTCCAATGGGACCTGGTACAAAGTGGTTTCAATCATAATGGAGACCTCTAACTGTTGCTTTCAGAACAGTCGTGTCCTGTCTGTGCTCAGCACTCAAAGGGGCTGAAAATGTCAACCGAGCATATTTCTTCAGAATGAATAGTGAAAGGCCAAGCTGTGGGGACAAGTTGAAACTATATGGAAGTGCACTTATATCTGAGAACAAGAGGCATTACTTTACCACAATGGTTGTGGGGGTATGGAACAAGCTACACACAGCCAATTTGTTGCAGAAGCCGGTTCCCCGGATTCTTTTGAGAAATAGATGATTGAGATCCTTGTCTCATTTAGTTACTAATTACAAAATGGGCTGGCAGGGTCGAATGGCTTGCTCCGGTTTGTAAACTTTCTTGTGTTCTTATGTAACATAGTGACTAAGGCCAGACAGAAGACTACAGGTGGCTCCAGATGGAGGGATAGAGAGGCTGGACATGTTCATAATGTACAACATAATGCTGTTAACATTTATCATTCCTGAATTCCGTCTTGAAAAATATTAGAATGCCATAGAAGTGGACGCAATATTGACAAATTATAAAGACAAGCATTTTTT